ATAGACTTTATTATCAAAAATAATAAAATATCTTTGAGAACGTCTGTTTTTTGGGTTGGCAAAGGGATTAGCGGAAAGAGTTTGAAACAATTGAATAATTTGATAATTAATATTTTTTAATAAAAAGCTAATAAGTTATCTAATTTTGATATAAAAAATAACTCTAAATATATTATCAAATTATTGAAAAGGTTTATAGATATATTTGCTAATATAAAGAATAAGAATGATAAAATTGTTATAGCTATTGGAAATTTTATATATGTTGATAATAGTAAATCTAAATTAATTTTATATTTAAATATAATATGGATTCAAAAAGTTTAAGATATTATTAATTCAAATAAAAACCAATTTCAAATAAAATTACATAATAAGTTTTATATTATTCCAACTTTTAACAAAGCTTCAGAAGGTAAGGATTTATTTTAAAAAAAACAAAATTTATTATTTCAAGTATTTGTTGCAAGACAATAACTTAAAGAACCTATTATTTTATTTAGCTCAACTAGTGAAGAAAACTTAAAAAAAATATAATAAACTTGAAAAATGATTTATAAAGATTGAAAAGTAATTCAATATGGCTTTAAATATAAATAAAATTTTTGTAGAAAGATGTTTTTAATTATTGAGACAAAGGTAAACATATAGATATCAATTATTTAATATCTTTCATTAATTTTTCAAAATCTGTCTTTTTTTTACTAAAAGAAAAACACATTGTAACTAGATATATCAATATTATCTATAGAGAAAATAATTTTTTTCTTGCATATGAAGAAATAGAGCTTTGAGTTTTTGGTTGTATCTGTTTTGTTGATTTTTTAAATAAAATTTCAGAGCCATCCACTTTATTTATACTAAATAAATTATTACCAGAGTCAATTACTTTATGGTTAAATATATTAAACTATGCTTATGTACTTTGTATATTATATGCATAAGGTATAAGTATAGGTTGATTCCAAAGAACTTTATTAGCTTTCTTCTCTTAACATATTTAATAAATATATTTTGTAATATTTTATACTTTTCTATTAAGTCTTTCAAAATTTTATATTTTGGTATTATATAATGGCATTGCATAAAATAAGTATAGTTATCAGAGGTAAATAGAGGTATATCACATTTAATATATACTTTGACTATGGTAATAAATACTTTATTCTTTTTGTTGTTTTAAAATATAAGATATTTATATCTAGTGAAAAATTTTAAAAAAATGTAACATGTCAAATATACAAGTCTGATATTCATTAATATGGATATTCTAAGAGACAAAGTCACCTTTCTTCGAAAGATCTAATACATATACTTATTCCATTTGTTATATATATCACATGTATTCCATATATTCCATGGGATATACTAAGTTAAATATACAGTATATGTATTTTTTTTAATTATATAATAGCAGAGCTAGTGTTAAAACACATGTTTCGAATATATACATTGTAAAATATCAGTGAAGGCAATAGACTTAGAGATTTACCAACAAATCGATACCCACCCAGCCGAACAGAACTTGAAAACCAGCTTGCTTATGCAAATCGAGATCATGAAATTGCTATAAAATGTGATCTGTCTTGGATAAAGATAATAAGAATATGCAACATGATCTAAATCGATTCAATAAAGATAAAGAGAATTTTTTTAAGCATAGTTGTCAACTTATTAATGAGATTAGATGATTAAAAGTAGACAAACTAACCTTACATCCCAGATTACCCGATCATAAATTTCTCATGATGAGTATAAAGCCAGGTATTATATGTAATTAAAGAAATAAAAATACTTCAGGCTATGATTAAGATATTGGAAAGTAGGTTAGCATCAGCCCAAAAAGATGCATTTTTGATCCAGAAAGATTCAACAAAAAAGATTCTGAGATCATGTCCCTTAAAGCTGAATTGGAGTATATAAAGAGTAAATTAGCTTCAAAGATCGATAAGCTTGAACGATTAAAATTAGATACTATATCAGTAAAGCCAAGATCTGCAATTACTGGAGGTAACAAAAAAAATACGCAGAACGAGGAACAAAGTTTCATATTGAATTCTGATAGGTTTGAAAAACCATTGTTTCGAAATAATAATAATAATCTTGCCAATATTTTGTACATAGAAAAAGTATAGAAGAATCAAAGATACGTGATGAAACTAATGTTAGTGAAACTAATAAGAATAATATATTTCAATCTCAAGAAATAGTAGAGCTACCACAGGTAAAAAATGTGATGCCTTTCCTTTCAGCCAATTTTCCTTCTCCGATTGAATTGCACTCTCAAATTCCAGTAAAAGCAATTCCTATGGTAAGTGTATTGGGGTCTTCAATGATCGCATTGCTTTTACTTGCTTTGTTAATTATCGTTACTGTATGGATTACATTTATTGCTAGAAGCAGACACACAGTGGGTAAACCTATATGGAATATATCTAAAAAAAATAAATTTTTAAAATATATAACATCATTTGATAGAAACAAAGATACAAAATTCCAATTCATTATACAAGAGAATTTAAAAACAAAAATACCTCACGAAACTATTCCTTATGGATATGGATGAGGTCACAAAGCACAAATAATCCAGAAATGTTGGACATCCAGCAATGACATGGCCTTTCAGTAAACTATTCAGTGGGAGGAATGGAACGGGTAATACCAATTTATTGACAAATCTTGTTCTCAGAGTTAAAGCAGAATATACAGTATATATAAAAGACGTAAAGGAGGATCCCGATATATGATTTGATAGTTTGTGGTTATCATCCTGACGAGCCAAAATGGGCATTTGTTAGATACATATATGGAATATTGCAAGTAATCCTAAAGCACCTTATTATGAAAATATTAGATTCATTTACATATCACCGGAAAAATTCCTAGCGTAAAATCATTTTCACCTGAGAAGTACTGAAATTATTTTTGAGGACTTATGTAATGCTCCAGAATCCATACAAAATCGAATTATTCCATTCTTTACACATGGGCGACATCGAAATATAAGTCCAATCTATATAACGCAAAAATATCATGTTCCAATAATTATCCGTGAAAATATCTCCCATCTAGTAATGTTTAATGGGGGCAGTAGCTATCAAGATGTGTCCAAGATAGTCGGTCGTTATACTGATGATGTTAAGAATGCATCAATGGTTATTAATAGTTACCTTCGTAAAAATGAATTTATTGTATTTGATCTTACTAGGTCGGAAGATGATCCTCTAGCAATTCGTTTAAGATTTGACACTCCACTTGATTTACATAAAGAAAGCAAACCAGCTGATATAGGAAAAATTCACGTGATTAAAATTTACGGTCTCGGAAAAATTAGTAACATCAAATATCAATACTACGTGCTAAATCCCAAATACATACTTCCAGAATTTATTAAGTGTAATATACTGTATTTACAATGTATGAATGTTACGTTACCGAGAGGCAGTCATATAGTGGCTATGCTATTGAAAAATAAATCGTATTTTAAACCCATCGAGATGAACATTTGTAACCATGAAAACATTATTTCTTATACCCTGCGGGAAATCCCCTCTTTGCGCTCTCAACATCTTTTAATATACGAATAGATGGAAAAAAGTGATATATATTAGATCATTATCGCTAAATACATTAAATTAGATGTAAAGATCGCGCATACCTATATTCGTTCGCCTATGATTTTTGGTTTCGCACGTTATTTCCAGAACCTAGCGTCGGAGGAAGATATTTTGGTGATGGCTCGTCCTCATCGGACAAGTGTCATCATATGAATTAGTCAATCGTTGATTGGCCAAAAACACTTTTTGCGAATAAAAAATGATTTGGTTATCATATTCATTATTTCATTTTCAAAAATGTGCTCTTCAAACTCTAGTTGGAGATCAGCAGTAAATAATGTAAAGAAAATTCGAAATAAAGTTGATAAAATAGTCCATAATTATCCCAAACTGCCAAAACATTCCTTAGAAGAAAAAAAGTGAGTATGCTTCGCGTAGGTCTTCTCAATATACGCTCAATGTTGACTTGTATGGTCTAGTTTGCCCTTTCAGATTGGATCGAAAGTTTCAGTGAAAGACTATAATACTTTTCTTGACCGCAACGAATCAACCGGATACAAATTTCATTGGGACAACGGAAACGTATACATTGTTGATATGACCAACGAAGAATACGGAGCCGTTGTCTCACTGCTTCAAGACTGTTTCGAAGCTCCAAACAATGGTGTGTCGCGCGGTGCTCCGATAAAAGTTGTAGGCCAACCATGTAAGAGATTCCCTTTTAATCTGCTTGATCTTTAACTTATAATAATAATCCACATTTCTCCTGTAGTTCATTATAATCCATCCAACATTGCATTAAAAATCGCACCAGACATCGCAGTTCGCCCAAATACTGCTCATGTTTTGAGACCTACCATTCCGCATCCTGGTCCTCCCCCCAGCAATACAAATGTATTTTTTATATATTATGATTATT